ACACTGTATAAAATATCTACAATATATAAGATATCTACAATATATAAAATATCTACAATATATAAAATATCTACAATGTATAAGATATCTACACTGTATAAAATATCTACAATATATAAGATATCTACAATATATAAAATATCTACAATATATAAAATATCTACAATATACAAGATATCTACAATATATGATATCTACAATATATAAAATATCTACAATATATAAGATATCTACAACATACAAGATATCTACACTATATAAAATATCTACAATGTATAAGATATCTACACTATATAAAATATCTACAATATATAAGATATCTACACTGTATAAGATATCTACAATATATAAAATATCTACAATATATAAGATATCTACAATATATAAGATATCTACACTATATAAAATATCTACAATATATAAGATATCTACAATATATAAGATTACTACACTATATAAAATATCTACACTATATACAATATATACACTATATAAAATATCTACACTATATAAGATATCTACAATATATAAAATATCTACACTATATAAGATATCTACAATATTTAAGATATCTACACTATATCAGATATCTACAATATATAAGATATCTACAATATATAAGATATCTACAATATATAAAATATCTGCACTATATAAGATATCTACACTATATAAGATATCTACAATATATAAGATATCTACAATACATAAAATATCGACACTGTATAAGATATCTACAATATATAAAATATCTACACTATATAAAATATCTACACTATATAAGATATCTACAATATGTAAGATATCTACACTATATAAGATATCTACAATACATGAGATATCTACACTATATACGATATCTACACTATATAAGATATCTACACTATATAAAATATCTACAATATATAAGATATCTACACTATCTAAAATATCTACACTATATAAGATATCTACAATGTGTAAAATATCCAAACTATGTAAAATATCTACACTATGTAAGATATCTACAATATATAAGATATCTACACTATATAAAATATCTACAATATATAAGATATCTACACTATATAAAATATCTACAATATATAAAATATCTACACTATATAAAATATCTACA